AGATTCTTCAGGTTTCTGGGACTTTATCAAGTTTTGGGAACAGGTTGGAAAAAAACTTTTGTATAAATTCTCGCTCAAAAATGTGTACAGCTCTGGATCCTTGTCAATGCTCCCACCTTCCCCAAAAATATTCTATGGCCGGGAATCTGAGCTCCAAGAAATTGTGAACATTCTTATTCAGGACTCTGCTCGCATTGCCATCCTGGGTCCTGGGGGCATGGGAAAGACTAGTCTTGCCACAGTGGCACTCCATGACAATGCAGTGGTAGAAAAATATTCACACCAATATTTTGTCCAATGCCACTCTACCGCTACATGTGAGGAACTGGTTTCAGCTGTTGCAGATCATGTTGGGGTCAAGAAAGGAGTAAATCTGTCAAACAAAGTTGCCCTACACTTTATGCATGCTCCAGCATCTCTCTTGGTCTTGGATAACCTGGAGACTCCTTGGGAGCCTTCTACCTCACAACCTGAGGTTGAAGAATTTCTATCTCTCCTGACAGATGTTCCTCATTTGGGGCTGATGGTATGTGGTTCTTACACTGTCCTCAGGTATTCACAACTCAAGCTGTCTAGATCACTATGCGGGGGGCTGAGCGTCCAGCAAAAGTGAAATGGACTCACCCATTCCTGGCACCACTCAAATCACTTTCTGGCCCAGCAGCACTTCAGACATTTATTGATGTTGCAGGCGACATCCACGAAGTGGAAAGTGTCAAGCAGCTCCTTGAACTCACCGGAAATATGCCACTAGCAGTCAGCCTCATGGCAAGTGTGGCTGCCCATGAAGGCTGTGAAAAGGCACTCTCGAGATGGAATACCGAAAGCACTCGCATACTTTCAGATGGATATGACAAGAGATCCAGCTTGGACATCTCTATTATGCTGTCTTTCACAAGTTCACGCATGACAGCAGGTGCTCAGGACCTGCTTGGAATTCTTGCAATCCTGCCAGATGGTCTCACAGATGTTGATCTGGTGCAATCCAAACTCCCAATTCCCAATATCCTTGCCTCCAAGGCTATTCTTCTCAAGACATCATTGGCATCTGTTGACCAGGATCATCGACTAAAAGCTCTTGTTCCAATCAGAGAGCATACACTCAGTATTCATCCTCCAAACAATGCACTTAAGATGAAACTCAGGCAATATTTTCATGAACTTCTGGATCTCTGGCATCAATTCCGAAATTTGAATGCAGCAAACATAATACCACAAATTACTCAAAGCTTGGGTAATCTCAACAGTGTTCTGGGGGATGCATTCCGGACAAAGGGTCCCCATATTCTGCAGAATATTGAAGATATCCTGCTTCTAAATCATTTTTGTGGAAGGATACTTATGACATATTCCCCGCTCATTCTCAGTTTGTCGGCACAATGCTCACAATGGGACAGCCACCCAATCTTTGGGGACTATCTGGTTGAGTACTTTCACACTTCTTCATTATTGCCTTTGCCAGATGCAGAGAGCCAGATCAGCTTAGGGAATGAGTTTTTCCGAGACAAGAGCTCATTGCAACAAGGTGGGCTTATAAATATCTTTTGTCATTTGAAAACTAATTTTTTGGTCAGCTAAGTGGAACCGAGCTCTTGGGCATTATTTTCTCTTTGGAAAGTCAAATGTGGCTGCTGCTTTTGAGTGCTATCAAAAGGCCCTTTTTTGGTCAGACATGACTGGATCCCCCACTGCACCTGGCACACGTGCCTTACTTGGTATTTCTGAAGTCATGATGAGCAAAGGAAATCCTCTGAGTGCATTGCAAAACTCAAAAAAGGCACAAGAATATGCCGAGCATCTTGGAGATATCAGCTCACAGGCCAGCTGTCTTGCTAGCCAGAGTGTATACCTGATATTGCTTGGAAACTATCGACAAGCTTTATGTGTTCTGAAAAAAGCGAGGTATCTTCTGCACTCTTGTGGTGAACAAAAGAGCTTGACATATGAGAAGACCCTAAATAATAAGGCTGAGATACATCTTTTGAAAACAGAATATATGGATTCTCTTCGCATACAGATCTCCATTACAGCCCATGTCCATCCGAAAACACGGGTAGCAATTATGACAAACCTGAACATTGCGCAGATTCAAATACTGACTGGTGTAAACTCCGAGGCGATTCGTCACCACATGGATACTTGCTGTGCTCACATCCAGAATTTACATGGGCTAGCACAGACATCTATGCTTCTTGTTGCCGATCTAACATTTGCAGGTCTCTATCTTCGGGATGGAGATCACACCACTGCCAATGTACTCTTCACACAGACATTTTCATCGGAGACAGTGGACACCGGCATGGAATTAGCAATGGCCAGCCTCTCAAGACTTGCAGATCTTTCTACAGAAATGAACAATATCCAAACAACAATGCGATGGGCAGGAATCTTTCTCGCATTGGCATTGAGGTCCAGGGACAAGCTCTGCATAATGAAAGCTTTCCGCTGTCTTGGGCAGATATTTGCTGCTCAAGGAGATGATGATACAGCTCTCAGTCTCTTCACTGTTGCTCTGGATGGATTGACATTCATGGATGTCCATCAGTGGAGGGCTGATTGTATGGTTCACATTGCAGATATCTGGGAGCGCAGAGGAGAGCTCATCAAGTCAGTTGAGTTATGGAAAGCAGCACAGCTGCTGTTCCAGAGGTCCTCCCAAGCCAAGGATATAACTCGAATTGACAGGAAGCTTGCTGATGTGGACTTGGCCATTATGGAGGAGTATGAAAAGCAACTCCAACAACTTGCAGAGTTGAAGGAATCTGTTGGAGAGCTGGAAGACATACGCATTGAGGATAATGAAGAATTTTGATCAGGCAGGTTGAGAGGAAGCTTAGTTTGAATCTCTTTCTCTTTCTCTTTCCCCCTTTCCTTGCACTCCTGGATATACATACCCTCCTGTTCTTGATGTGCCATGCACACTCCAGGTTCATATCATTCTGTCTCTCCCTATGTATATATAATTGTAAATTCACTATCATATTCAGTATGTGCAAGAACTACATCCTGTGAAATGGTATTCCCCATCTGCACGACTCACTGTACATGATTTTTTTTCATTATTCCACATGGCCTGAACCATGGGAGAAACGACTTTATTAGTGATTTTCTCCTATAAATCCCTTTTTTCAGATGCCGTCAAGCAGTGTTTGAAGAGATCCTCTCACTCAGATATTTTCCGCGTCAAAAATAATAACTTTTTTTTGTCATGTTTGATTGTCCGGGACTGCAAGCGAAGTTGAGATGCCGGAGAATGTGTATCGCTGGTGTGTGGTCCGTACTTCCAGGAGTTGCAATAGAAATTAAAGGAAGATAGGTGAGATTTACATAATTCAACCAAGAGAATTTAAGACCTTTGTCGGGCTGATGGCGGAGAAATATGTATTGGTGGTGCATGATCCACACTTCTTTCGATTAAAAGGCAATCTCTTCTACATAAGGAGGCGAACGGGGTTCAATTCCCCGCCGATTTGCTGGTAACCATTGTATGAGCCTTTCAATTTTTTCTGCTACAGTATTCAGCCATAAAAAGTTGGCAGGTCATTTAGGTTGGAAGGAAGAGACTAAAGCATCGGTGGTGCACGGTGCACGCCTCAATTCCATAAGCACTAGGTGTGACAGTCGAAGGAGGAGAACGGAGTTCGATTCTCTCCCGGTCTATGAGGGGTGGCACTTTGTTTTTTGTTGAAACATCCGACGGAGAAGTTGGGATCTTAGGTAGTTTAGAGAAATGGAAAGGTGCATCGGTGGTGCGCGGTGCACACTTTCGTAACCTGCCTATGCTACCTATAGAGAAAGTTGAACGGAGGAGGACAGTGTTCGACTTCCCGCTGATGTATTGGCAGACACTCGTTTACTCTTTTTATTTTACGACAATTGGAACCAAGAAATTGCAGTCTTGGTTACTTATAAAGCATCGGTGGTGCATAGGGCACACCTCTTTACTGTGTGCAGGGAAGTACTTACAGGGAGGGATAGTACAGGTTTGATTCCCGGCCGATGCATAAGTTTTCTTCAGGGGAAAATTTGCTTTTGCTACATACACATAATGATCGCACCTACATGTTCCCCACCAACCGCATTTTTTGTTGACTCGTAACCGAAAACTCAGCTCGAGTCGAGTCCCAAAATCAATGCTGCTCATGTCGAGGACTTGCAATGGAAATGGAATTACGTAGGGATGGGTTCGAATTAGTGGGATAGTGGGAGCCGGGAGCCAAAATTAGGGACCCTCCACCGCGTTGAGGTGTCGCATGAAACTCGCTTGGGGGTGTTCTATTCCTCGGGGCATGAAGAGCAAGAGCATCTTTCGTGAAACTCAACAAATAAGTGGGGAGGTTTATCAGGTTAAAAGGAAGGAATTAAAGCATCGGTGGCGCATGGTGCAAACCTTCCTGACCTATCACACCCCACTGTAAACTTGATAGGAGAGGACGAGGTTCGATTCCCCACCGATGCTTTCCTCCCAATTGCCGTCTTTTTTTTAAACGAAATTTGATCAAAAGTTGGGACATTAGCGAAGTTAGAAAGAAGGGAGTGAAGCATTGGTGGTGTACGGTGCGTGCCTTTTTACTATGAGATACCCCCAGTCAAGTGAAACAGGAGGATTGTAAACGAACACAAATTGGCAGCTTATTCAGTTGAGAAGAAGGGAATTAAAGCATCGGTGGTGTATGGTGCACACCTCCTTACATTGGCCCGACCCGTCGGCTGAAAGGAGGACGGGGTTCGACTCCCCGCCGATGCATAGCTATTTCATTGTTCTCCTTTTTTGTTGTTGTTGAAAAATCCAACCAAAAGTCTGGATGGTTGTCAGCTTGGAAGGAAGGGAAATACGCATCGGTGGTGCACGGTGCACGCCTCCTTTACCTTATCAAGAAAGTTCTTGTTGAATGAGGAGAACGGGGTTCGCCATGTATGCTTGACCCTCCCTCCATCATCTTTTTGTAATCAAATTCAACAAAAAGTCAGTTTATTTAGGTTAGGGGGAAGGGAATAAAGCATTGGTGGTGTATGGTGCACGGCTCCTTTGAATTAATATGCACAGGACCATAAGGAGCCAGCCGGGGTTCGACTCCCCGCCAATGCATGTATGGCCCCCCAATTTTTTTTTTTTTTTGACTGAAACACCCTGGAATTGTTCGTCTCTGCTTAAGGTTAGGAGAAGAATCACTGGTGCAGGGTCCACACCTCGTACCGGAAAGCAGGAATGGTAATGCAATTACAGCGGAGTATATGTAGTATACCCCCCGAACCATTTACTGTTTTGACTATAAAAAGTTGGCAATTTATTCCGGTTAGCAACTATGGAATTGAAGCATCGGTGGTGTACGGCGCACACTTCCTTTAAATTCGGGGGAAACTTCAATAACAGAAAGTTGAACGAAGAGAACGGGGTTCGACTCCCTGCCGATGCATCCGTGGTTTCATTGCGTTTTATTTTATTTTGTCAACTGTAGCCAAATTCAACGACAAAGTGGGGATCTTGGCGAAGTTAGAAGGAAGGGAAAGGAGCACCGGTAGTGCATGGTGCACACCTCTTTACTGTAAATAGGAATTGAAGTACATACAGGGAGGGATGCGGGTTCGATTCCTGGCCGATGCGTGGATGTGGACGTCCCATTTTCATTTTTTTTTGTTCAGTTCTCACTCACGAAATAATGCAGATATAATCTCGCAGTCAGCTTCCGCACAAAGCTAAGCATCGGCGGTGCATGGCACACGCCTCCCTTTTCTACACATAAAGTAAAAATTAAAGAAATGATGGAGGAGAATGTGGTTGAGTTCCCCACCGATTGCATTATTGGTCTCCTAATGCTTCCGCTTTCTTTTTGGACTGAAATACACCCAGAAACCTTTCGGTATCTACTTAGTGGCGCATGGTCTATACTTCCCGCCCGCAGACATAAATGGGAATAGAATTATGTAGATGAGGGTTCGATCACCCCGGAATGGTACTGTGCAGTATTCAACCATAGCATATTCAGATTAGAAGGAAGAGAAATACGCATCGGTGGTGCATGGTGCACATCTCCCTTCCTAATGGGCTGCTGTCACCGAAGGAGGAGCACGGGGTTCTATTCCCTGCCGGTGGATGTGTTTCTGAGACTCTTGAGCCTTTTTGAGCTTAAATTAAATGAGACAGTACTGGTCCTGATGCCAGTGAGGCTAGAAGGAAGAGAAATACGCATCGGTGGTGCATGGTGCACACATCCTGAAAATGATCCGACGTGAAATAACTTTGGACGGAGGCGAACGGGGATCGACTCCCCGCCGGTGCATAATGAAGATGGATATTTCTTTTTGTAAACGAATTCAACCAAGACTAGACCTTATTTAGGCTGTAAGGTATGAAATTAAGGCATCGGTGGTGTATGGTGCACACCTCCTTACACTGGCTCTGTCAACTACAAGAAAGGAGGAGGACGGGGTTCGACTCCCCGCCGATGTATAAATGTTGAAAATTCTTGCTCTCCTTTTTTCGTTGTTGTTGAAAAATCCAACTAAAAGTCTGGATGGTTATCAGCTTATAAGGAAGAGAAATACGCATCGGTGGTGCATGGTGCACACCTCCTGAAAATGACCCGACCCGAAAATAACTTTGAACGGAGGCGAACGGGGATCGGCTCCCCTCCGGTGCATGGACATTCTCGATGTATCTTTTTTGTAAACGAGATTCAACTAAGAGTTTGAGACCTTATTCAAGTTGTAAGGTATGAAATTAAAGCATCGGTGGTGAATGGTGCACACCTCCTTACACTGGCTCTGTCAGGTGGATGAAAGGAGGAGGACGGGGTTCGACTCCCCGCCGATGCATGGTGCTTTCAATTTGCTCTCCTTTTTTGCTATTGTTGAAAAATCCAACCAAAAGTCTGGATGGTTATCAGCTTCGAAGGAAGGGAAATAAGCATCGGTGGTGCATGGTGCACACCTCCTGAAAATGATCAGACGTGAAATAACTTTGAACGGAGGCGAACGGGGATCGACTCCCCGCCGGTGCATGGAGGGTTCTGGATGTACCTTTTTTGTAAACGAGATTCAACCAAGAGTTTGAGACCTTATTCAAGTTGTAAGGTATGAAATTAAAGCATCGGTGGTGTATGGTGCACACCTCCTTACAATGGCTCGACTCGTTGGCTGAAAGGAGGAAGACGGGGTTCGACTCCCCGCTAATGCATAATCTTTCATTGCTTTTGTTGCTGAAAAATCCAACCAAAATGTGGATGGTTGTCAGCTTAGAAGGAAGTGAAATACGCATCGGTGGTGCACGGTGCACGCCTCTTTACTGTGAGTACAATTGATGAAAGGAATACAGGGAGGGACTCGGGTTCGATTCCCGGCCGATGCGTGCCACATGCGATTCGTCGAAAGTTTTTTTTCTTTTTCTCTCCTTTACTTAGAAAAAGATGCGGACTGCCAACTTATAATTTATAATCTCCGTCACAAAGTACAAAGCCTGCTATAAACAACTTGAACCACAATAATATCCCAAAATAGGCGGCCGATCACGTCTACCGTGGGAACTCTGAGCGCATCGCAACAACACGCGTCCTGCCCGCAACCACCGCAGTCTCCCTCCAAGGACGTCTCAAACACAATAATGTCGGACCCGCCGGCGCCCCCTGCGCCAAAGCCCAAGCCCGGGTCGCTGCGCGACCGCATCGCCGCATTCGAGAAACCCAAGTCTGATTCCTCTGGTAGTGGTGGTGGTGGTGGTGCGCCCCCGCCCGTGCGCCCCAAACCCGGCGGCGCCGTCTCGTGGAAGCCGCGCCCGCGTTCGCCCGTCTCGCCCGTGAACCCCAATATTGCTGTCGACGCCGGTGCTGCTAGCAGTGGAGGTAGTGGAGGTAGTGCAGGCCTGTCGGCGAGCGACGCCAAGGAGAGCATTGGGCGTGGGGGGAGCCTGAAGGACCGCATGGCCGCTTTACAGGGCCGCGGGGCGTTCGGCGGCGCGCCTGGGCCCGCGCCGCCCCCCGTGGTGCCGACAGGAAGGAAGTGGGTCCCCCCGCCCAAGGCTGAGCAGCCGCCTGAGGAGGAGGTGGCTGTCGTTACACCGCCGCCTGTGCGCACGGCGAGGGAGGAGGGCGAGGAGGAGGGCGAGGAGGCGCACAAGGAGGAGCAGAAGGAACAGAAGGAGGAGGGACAAGACCTCGAGGAGCAGGGCGAGCCAGACCCCGAGGAGGAGGAGCGCCGCCGCCGTGCAGCCATCGCCGCGCGCATGGCCCGCCTGGGCGGCGCCCGCGTCGGGATGTCCCCGCCCGTCTTTGGCGCAAAGCCCCCCGTGGCGAAACGCCGCACGAGCGAGGAGGACGGTGTGTATATTTGTTTCGTCTTCCTGACTTCCTGCTTATCGTGCTGTAGCCCCGACGACAAAGAGCCCCCCGGCGTCCATCAAGAGCCCCACACCGAGCTTCAAGAGCCCCCCTGCATCGGACGCAGACTCAGGTAGGCTGGCGCGCGGATTCATTTCATTCGCTATCTTTTCTTGCCTTCGAATTCTTTCTCACTTTCCGTCTACGTTCCTTCATTTTACGGGAACGGAATGGAACGGGCTTCTTTTATTCCGCTTCATTCATCTCATTTACCCCTCTGTTTACTTTACTTTCGTGGGCTCCGGCACATCGTCGATCGTGTGGGCTGCGCGACACTGCGCCGACCGTGTGGCGAGGGGGGGGTGGCGTCCTTTTCTTCAAGGGGGTGGGGTCTGGTGCACCCCACGCGATGTGTTGGGCGTTATTCTGTATAGCTTCTTCGGCGTGTGGAATCGCATGTGCTTTGTGGCGCGCCCCCGGTCGGCACACGCGTCGTGCGCTGCCCTGTGTCGTGGGCTGGCCTACGTGTGCAAGTACGCGCCGGCGCCGTTCGTGCGGTCGGGTCGGCGCGTCTACAGCTCCACCGGTCGTTTGTTTGTCTGGGCACGTCGCCGGACCGACGCCCCCGCCCCGCCACACCTTTTCGAGACATGGTTATCCGTGTGCGTGGGCATGCAGCCATAAGACCATCGGTGATGCCGCCACCACGCGGTGCCGCCACTGCGCGCTGTCTTCCTTCCCTTCTGCATCTGTTTCCACCTCCTACCCCCTTTTGTGCTGCGCTAAAGTATGTATGCACACAATGTGGACGCATGGGCACAGGGGGTGCGGCGGGTATCGGCGTACGGCCGGGGTGCGCGGTCTCAACGTACAAGACATGCCGCCCTTCTCATCATGCTGCTACTTTTTTTTTTCTCGCCTATACATCATCTGTATATTTTGGTTCCCGCCTCTTTTTTGGTCTTTTTTTATTTATTTATTTATTCTCATTTCGCTCTTGTTTATTTTATTTATTACGCTTCCTGTTATTTTCATTTTCGCACCGTCTCCCCTCCCTTTTTCCTTCTGATTGATGCCGTTGCTGACACCGTTTTCCCTCATGCAGGACCAGTCCCCGCTACAGCCGAGGCGGAGAAAGCGGACGAGGACGAAGCTCCCGTCAAGCCCGAAGAGCCTGCGACCAGCGTCGCCGCACCGGAAGCCGAAGCACCCGACGCGCCCAAGGTCGATGCACCCGCTGCAGCAGAAGGAAGCGCGGCAGAAGAAGGCGGTGCGTGTTGTTTCTTTCTTGTTCCTTCTTTATTGTTTTTGTTCCTTGCATGCATTTTTCTGTTTTTTGTTGGTGCATCCCATTCCTGTTTTTTTTTTTTGAGGGAGGGGCCCATTGGTGGAATCTGTGGTGCGGGAGGGCTCGTCGCCTTTTTTTAATTCTGTTTGGCGACGATACCTAGGCTTCTGTTATTATTCGAGTTTGTGTATTGCGTTTCGTGGGGTTGCGCCGTGTTGCATATTGCATATCCTGTCTTATCCCCACCTATTCTGTTCGTGGACACTTTTGGATGGCGCGTATGATCCCTCGCGCCGTCGGCTCTCTTATCGACATTTACATCCCTAATTACTTCATTTTGAATCCCCAATTACTTGTTACCATCCTTCCTCCCTCCCCAACTCCCACTTCGTTTCCGCTTCTTTCTTTCTTTCTTTCTCTACTTTCGTTTCTTTTCATCGTGCTGACGACCACGCATGATTCGCAGTGCCTACCTCGCCCACAGTAGCA